CCCCCGCCCCCAAGATACCTGTCTTTCTCCCCAGAAGCCCGCTCCAGCGCGATCTTTTATCTCTTTCCCATTCCTACTCCCCTTCCCCTCCCTTTCCTACAAGCGGGCGTGTCATCCTTACACAATGTGGAGGAAAGCTCCCGTCCTCCCCGCCTGCTGTGATGACAGCAATTATCACGTTGTGTTTCTGTGCCAGTGCGCGCGCCGCAGGTGTTCTGCTACATGACCAGCTGGTCCCAGAAGCGCCCCGGCTCCGGCAAGTTCACGCCGGAGAACATCGACGCGTCGCTCTGCACGCACGTCATCTACGCCTTCGCCACGCTCAAGGAGCACAAGCTCGCCATGGCCGAGGAGAAGGACGCCGACATGTACGAGCGCGTCGTCGCCCTCCGGGAGAAGAACCCCAACCTCCAGGTGCGTCGACGGTGTTTTACCATGTGAAAGCAATGCACAGTCAAGTAACAAACACAGTTTTAAACTTGCGTTCTATTTATTTTCTCAGATCCTTCTTGCCATCGGTGGATGGGCATTCGGCTCGACACCCTTCAAAGAACTGACGTCCAACGTTTTCCGCATGAACCAATTCGTCTACGAAGCCATCGAATTCCTTCGCGAGTACAAATTCAACGGTCTGGACGTCGACTGGGAATACCCCAGGTAATCATACATATTTCAATATTTTTTTCACTTGCATTCTGAGTTGTTGTTCTAAACCTTGTTTTCCACACTTGCAGAGGTGCTGATGACCGCGCCGCTTACGTCAATCTCCTCCGCGAGCTGCGGATGGCATTCGAGGGTGAGGCCAAGAGCGCCAACCTACCCCGCCTGCTGCTCAGCGCCGCCGTCCCCGCGTCCTTCGAGGCCATCGCCGCCGGGTAAGAATCGCGCTCACCGGGGGAGCACTCTCGCGCGCCCGTCAAAGTGTTAGCTCTGCATTCGACGCCATTCTCAACAATCTTCTCTTCCCCCCAATTGCAGGTACGACGTGCCCGAGATCTCCAAGTACCTCGACTTCATCAACGTGATGACGTACGACTTCCACGGCCAGTGGGAGCGCCAGGTCGGACACAACAGCCCCCTGTTCCCGCTCGAGAGTGCCACCAGCTACCAGAAGAAACTCACCGTGGTGAGTAGAGCGGTCACTTCCCCTTGACTGCACAAACCGTAAGGCCTCGCTTGGCCCTTGCGTTGGGTCCTGGCCGTGGCTGAACCGCCTGCAGCGGTGAGATAGCCCACCATTCGCACACACGAGCCATGCGGGTTGGCCTACCCGGCCGTTCGCAGGCGCGCGGTGTTGTGCTCGGTGGCCTATCGTGCCGTTCGCAGGCGCGCATGTTCCCAAGGGAAACGTTTTTCCCACGATGACGTATTTGTGACGTAATTTTGACATACGAGGTCACGATTTTTATACATGTGAGGATAGGAGGTCGAAAAAACAGGCACAGTGACCTCATTGTGATATCCGTTACGATTTCGTGGGCGAAAATTTTTCCTTGGCTCGTACTCGGTGGTCGTCCCGGCCACCTGCAGAGTGCGGGCCTCATCTCTGTAACCGCGTCCACTACACACTCTGCGTGCTTTGTGACCTGCAGGACTTCAGCGCGCGCGAGTGGGTCAAGCAGGGCGCCCCCAAGGAGAAGCTCATGATCGGCATGCCCACCTACGGCCGCTCCTTCACCCTGGTCGACCCCACCAAGTTTGACATCGGCGCCCCGGCCTCCGGCGGCGGCACTCCCGGCAAGTACACGGGCGAGGCGGGCTTCATGTCCTACTACGAGGTGTGCGACTTCCTGCACGGCGACAACACCACCCTGGTCTGGGACAACGAGCAGCAGGTGCCCTTCGCCTACCGCGACGACCAGTGGGTCGGCTTCGACGACGAGCGCAGCCTCAAGACCAAGGTAAAGTATTGGAGAGCGGTTCGATTTGCCTCATGGTTTGGTACGTGGCGGTGCATGCGCAAAGCTTTACAACGCTGTTGATCGTTGCAGATGACGTGGCTCAAGGACGAGGGCTTCGGAGGCATCATGATCTGGTCCGTGGACATGGACGACTTCAGGGGCTCGTGCGGCACCGGCAAGTACCCGCTCATGACCGCCATGAGACAGGAGCTGGACGGCTACAAGGTCAAGCTGGAGTACGACGGGCCCTTCGAGGGCACCAGCACCTCCGGCGCGTACACCACCAAAGACCGTGAGTACCCTTCTCTTCCGCACGCACACTGCTGCTCGGGAGGGGCAATCCTGGTCAGGGTAACTCATCTCGCCGGTCTCATTCGCAGCGAACGTGGTGACCTGCGAGGAGGAGGACGGCCACATCTCGTACCACCCTGACAAGGCGGACTGCACGCGCTACTACATGTGCGAGGGCGAGCGCAAGCACCACATGCCCTGCCCTGCCAACCTCGTGTTCAACCCCAACGAGAACGTGTGCGACTGGCCCGAGAACGTGGAGGGCTGCATGCACCACACCCAGGCGCCGCCCACCAGCCGGAGGAGATAGGCAGCCAGAAGAGCGCCACCCAGCGGAGAGTCGGCTCACCGACACACCGAGTCACCGATCACCGCGGCGGCCGGGGGGGAAGGACCTGGAGGGACGCCTGTCCTGACGGCGTCCTCGCCGCCAGCTGGGAGTGCAGAGAGGAGGGCGCCGGAGAGGGGCTGCCGTGTCCAGTGTCCAGCCCCCCTTCGTAGCGCCAACGATAACGCCAACTGATTGCGAGTGGTATGGACGCAAAGAGAGGATGAAAGGCTTTGCAGCACGTCGGAAGCCTTCGACTTGTGAGCGAGTCGATGTTGACGGTGGCGCGTGCTGTGCACACTCAAAAAGACTTTCCTGTGCGAGAACTGCTTCTTGTGATTTCGTTCGAGGGCGCACACCAGCAACAGTAGGATGACTGCGTATCTATTAGTGCCACACTAAGCCGGTGAGGGAAGGGGGTTGTCCAGTGTGATTGAGGAAAAAATAATCTAGAATCAATTGATAATCATTTTCTGAAATAGAAAACATGTTTCGGATCATCTGTGATCAATTTTCATTTACTCACTTAAATTATTTCTCGCACTATGATTAGGAGAAGAAAGTTAAGTTGTACTCTAAGTGAAAAAGGTGTCTTTTAATATCTTATGACTGGAACTATTGTTTTTTGGGGAAATAGAACTATGTTTATAGAATTTACATCTCTGACTTTTACCATTGGCAGATATTTATTCAGAAATGTGTAACACTGATAAACTGAAACTATTTCTCTAAGAAAAAATACTTTTAGCTTTTCAGCTTTGACCTAACAACCCCTGAACAAGTATATGTACAAATAAAGGCAGACTGGTTAAAGACAGGAGTCACCAGTAGTGGTACCTAGTTTGAGTTTTGAACCGACCAGTTTTATAAATGACTGGTTACACTTGTCTCAGCTTTGGTTTGTTTTTCATTCAAGTTACCAGTAACTGTGAAGACTTTTCCTAAACCTTAATTTACTGAGGAACCCTAAGTGTTCCTCATACATTTTATCTCAGTTGAAAAAATTTTTGCTCATTTTCTTTCAAGTTGGAAAATTCAAAAAAATCCTTTAAAAAAAACAAAAATCGAATTTTGAAATTTTGGTCAAGGTGATGGATAAGTCACAAGTTAGATTGAAGTACTAATCTTCCTTTGTAATTTTACGTAAACTGTATTTATTTGATACTCCTTAACAATTTGTGACTTGTTTCCCCATCAAAATGTTTCTCTTGACTTCTCTTCAGTTCATCCAAACTGGTCTCATTCCTGGTTAGCTCTGAACAAATGATGATACTGATCTAAATTAGATCAAATTCATTTATAGGCTATTTTTTTACTCCTCTTTTTTTAAACAATTAGGAATTCAAGAAAAGTAAATTAAAAGTTGGTTTAGAAACCATATGTAATTATCTAAAACTTTTAAATGAAATATTTGGTTGTTTACAGAAAA